GCGAACCCCACTCAAGTGGGGTGAGTGCATATGTATGAGCTCTGTTACCTAGTAACGCGTGACGTATTTTACGTCACGTTTCACTGGGAGTCTTTGTTGGAAGTTGTAGCAAAACCTGTTTGGATGCGGTCGGAGAAACCAAGGATAGATCGAGAAATTCAAAGCTGAAGATTCAAGCGTTAGCCCTTCGTCTGAGAAATAGATTGAATAACAGTTGTTAGGGAAAGGAGGGACGAGAACTGAACTCAGGAAAGAAGTGGAAATCGGGTCTAATAAGGAGTTAAAAGAAGTGCAAATTGTTAAAAAGAATCGGTGGACACGAAACTTCTTTATAACATAACCAAAGTAAAGCGCGCGCTCTGATTGGTCAATTTAGCGTCCCTCATTTGCTCATGGGTGTACGCTGCTGACGTGAGCAAATGCAAAGACTATTTTTCCACTCGCGCTTGTTTTTTCTGGTCACGTAAGATCTGTTAAATAAAAGGGAACTCTTTAGCTACAATGTATCAATGTTATGTTATAAAACTATTGAGTTATGGATGCACTTGGGAGGTTTGCTAAGCACTCAAGAAGCCAGAGTCGCTCTCAGCTATCGCCTCGAGCGACTCTTGCGCTTCTTTCGTGCTTAGCAACCTCCCGCGTGCATCCATAACTTACGCTGTAAGCTGTGGTGTTTGTCATGTTTACCATTTGTTAGAGCGGCAAATGACGTGCCCCTGAATTCACATCTGGTGGCGTGGCGGAGTCTGGTGCCCATTACCAGTCTCCCACAGATTTCAATATGGCAGCTGTCTGGGCGAGTTAAATCACCGCGCTCGCATCTTCCTCCTTTCACAAGTTCTGTTCGCGCACAAATCTCAAAATGCCAACAGTGGTACTTCTTGATGTCTCGCTTTCCATGCTACGGCGTGTTCAAACACCTGAAGATGAGTTAATGGAACGCCGTCACCTAGCCATCCGCGGACTTCACGTTTTCTTTGACTACTTATCTAGCAAGTTTAAGTTGGAATTCTCAGCTTTGTTGGCATTTTCCTCTCTGTGGGAGATTGTTGTACCGTTTACCAGAGATTATCAAGCACTGAAACAGGGCTGTATAACAGTGGATGTCTACGACAAGACAAGTTTTGACAATGGTTTTAGTGGTGTTGTCGGCCATGTTATTGAAGAGTGGGGCACCTCTGTGCCATGTCAGGTGATCCTTGTCACAGATGGCCGCACGGGGTCTGGTCAGGGATCGCTTAAGGAGCTTTTAGAAGGGAAGAGGAAGGGAAATCCTGACCAACCTTCGCCGTTTCCCATCCCATTTCCTTGTAAAATACACGTTGTATGCATTGCAACAGTAAGTGAATTGGGAGGGGATCTGATGCTGTTTCAGAGACTTTGTGATTCCACTGGTGCAGGAGGAAGTGTTTATGTGCCTGACATGCCACTTAGTGTCCAGTCAATCCAGAATGTTTTTAAGCGTCTTGCTCAAACTCATTACATAAGCTATGAGGGAACTCTGTCATGTGGGCATTTGCAATCCAAAATAACACTGTCACCGGCACCAGATTTAACAAGCATACTTGAGACATCTAAGAAAACCACAGGCCAAGAGAAGACAAGGAGAATGCCGAATGAGCTGTCAATATGTGGTTTTCTTGATGTGGCAGATGCTGGAAGTCCACCACACATATCCCGTCATCTTGTGATTCCAGTTCCAACATCATCTGCAGATAGCAAGGATAAAGAAGGAGGAAAGGAGGCTGTTAGAGACACTGATGAGGATGGTAAAACTCCCTCCTTCTGTGTACTTCTACATGGAAGTTTGAAAGTGGAGAAAATGGTGGCTATTGTCATGTTAGAGTGAGTATGATTTGAACTTGTGGGTGTTGCAGGTTTTTTTTTTAATTTGTTTGTTTGTGGCACTTCAAAAAATCAATTTCTGTAATTTTGTGCAATTTTTTTGTTGTTGCAAATTTCTTTCTGTTTTCCAAACTTCCTGCAAAATGTATTAGCTTTTGTTACCTTTCTTTTGAGGATGAAGATCTTTAGTAAATTGGACCTAATTTGTTTTACCCTATAGCAAACATTTCCATACTCCAAGGAATGTCCAGAGTGGAAATGTTAATAATGGTTTTTCATACTTGGTGTAACATAAATTAGGCTCTTGGAGGAACACATACAAGAACACACTTTGCATCAGTAGATCAACTCTTCACACTGAAGGTATTATGTGAATGTACTTGTTAGAATTAGCAATTTTTGCTACTTCTCCAGCTCTGACTGGTTTGGAATGCTTCATTCTTGGGCAGACAGCAAAAAGAAGTCCAATCTTGTTCTCACAACATTCTTTCCTGGAGAAAACAACATTTCCTGGCTAGGCAATATGCAGAAACTTGGTCCAGCTGCAGAACTTGACGCCAATCCATATCAGGCTTCTGACAATGATGAATCTGAGACAACACCTTTCCCAGTTTTGCCAAGTCAAAGGAGAAGCTACAATTCACAAGCCAATGTTGTGTGGATCAAGCCCAGTGGACTACAGGTATGAAAGATGTGGCAGTAGATGGCTCAGTCAGTGAAGAAAATTTGAATAAGACAACCCGATTACATCAATACACTGAATGCAAATATGGGGTCCAATTTGAGTTGCTATTGTTCTGGACTGACTAGCCTCTCAAACATGTAATAATCCTTTTGTATTTCCACGTGAAGACGCTGCTAGTCAGTCCAGAACAATGGCAATTCACATTGGACGCCAAGTTTGCATTCGGTGTATAGGGATTGAACTGTTTTCTATCTGCCAGTAAACATATGCATGGAGGTCTGTAATATGGGATGATGGGAGGTAAATCTGAGTAATCAGGAGCATTTCCACATTACTGGTGTTCTTGATTTTTGCGTGGGTCACTGACTATAAAAAATTTAAATCCCCCTATTACTTGATGTAGTACCACCAATTTAATATCTAGGAATCTGGGAGAGATCCAAAAATATTTATTAAAATATGAGTAAAATCAAGGATATAATAAGCTTCTCTGCAGAATATTCAATTGTTAAGGATTTTCCCAAGTGATCATCAGCCTTGGCAATAATCATTCTTTTGTTTATGTTTTCAGTCTGATGTCCAAAAGCTGTTACGCTATGCCAAGAGACTTCCTGAAAAGCAGGGACAATTTTATAAGGTGAGATAAAAATTTAACATTTGGGCTGTTAGTTTTTGATAGTTGACACAGTAGAGATATCATAAATTCTGTGGACCATTGGATTGGGATTTTGTTCCATACATTTTCTTCAAAAATTGGCTGCATGTCACCAATCTGAAAAATGTTAATTGTTATAGTGAAAGTATTGATGAATCTGATAAAATATTCATTTGGGTGATTACTGTAAGAGTCCTGAGGTTATAAATCAAAACTGCAAAATAATTTCCATTGCTAAGTTATCAACAACTGGTGCAAGGGAATACACCAGGTTTCCTCTGTTAAACTATCTGTCCCCACAATTTTGTAGTGCAGGAAAATATTCCCAAAACAATGATGTCACATCCACTTGGCAGGAGTTTACAGCATATGTACATACTTTTTCAATTTCCTTCTTCATCACTTTTTCAGGAACTAAACAGACTACGCCGTGCGGCCTTGTGTTATAGTTACTTGGGCCTTTTGGATGTACTGGCGAGCATGTTAGACAAAGAATGTCACAAAGCAACTGCCGAGGTAGCTCACCAGCTACAACATGCCTCTCAGAGTCTCAGAAGTGCTACAAGTTTGGATTTAAACAAGCCTATCACTCCAGCTCAAGATTAAACCTGCTGTTGATTAAATTGTGAGATGTAAACATCATTTTGGTTTTACTGTGACAATCACAGTTTAATTTAATTGGAAACTTCCAAGGCAGAGTTAAATACAGATCTAGATCTATATATGCAATGGTTGGTTCATAGCTCGAAAACAGTACTGTTTTTCAACTGTTACCATCTGTTTTTTTGTTTTTTGGCACAGCACACACACTTAGTGTGTTTACTGAACACAGCTTACATGAAGAGAGCCATAGTAACAGGTATTAAAAGTCAATTATTACACGACTCGGGCAGTCAGAGGGCCAATAACTAAAATCAACCAATCAAAATGCTCTATTGCCGGTCCAATATTCTCTAAGTATTGGACCGGACACTGTCCCGAATGGTCCCGAATGATACCGCACTTGTGTCCTTTTGAAGTTCAGTCGTATAATAAATCTCTTATTAACCAAGCTTGCTCGGGGCAGTACTGGAAGAATATCAGTCCTCAGTCTATTTTGTATGGACCTCGCTGTGTTTGGTCCGTACTGACAAGACCTCGGGCCGATATTCTCCCAGTACAGCCCTCGTGCTTGGTTAATAAGATATATTTATTATCCCTCGAATCTGATCAAAGAAGTAGAGGAATATTTGCTGAACATGACTGAAAATGCTATCATTGTACAGCAGCTAGGGCATGAAATGTGTCAACTTATCTTTGTTCAATATTTACAGTTCTTTACTTTGAAGAAAAATCAAAGTTGGACAGTTCAAGTGTGTTGAATTTTATTGTCATGGAAAAACTTGACATTAAGTAAAATGTGCTAAGTACTCTTTCACTCAACAAAAGTCAACATTTTATCAAAATCACTGACTAACTTTTGACAGGTCCACAAGGTTCAAACTTTAAGTTCAGCAAAGTTCAGGAAATAATTTTAAAACAAGGAAATATTACCCAGTCACATGCCCTGCAATTATTTCACTCAAACATTGTACTTTTAATTACTAACAAATGGCACTACTGTTGGTACAATAGGCTTATTCAAGTTTCTTTGATCAGATCTCAACTCTTTCAGATGATGCTATCATGTGGATAGTATCATCTGGCACCCTTTGAACATCTGAGACCAGTTCTTCCTAAACCTGCACTTTCAGTACTTGAATACAACCTTTAATTTAAAATGTTTAAATATTTCCTTTAAGTAGTGATTGTAACATAGTACTACATGTAATTACTAGGTTAATTACATTTTAGTCACCCTAACAAGTTCTTTTTTCCATGCTCCTGACCAACTGTGTGAACCTGTTTTGGTCTTTTTTAGTCCAATTATTTGTTGTTGTTTTCCTTGGACACGTCGTTTTAAGCTACAGCTGCAATCATTAACCAAACTTGATACCTTGTGCAAGAGGAAGCTCTTTGCTGAAGTTAATTGTACTGAGAAAGGGAAAAAAGGGATTTTTTGTTTAGTACTTTAATGGATACCTGTATCAAGGCAAATGCAATCTTTCTTTAGTCAATTACCTAACTCAAAATCTACCATCTCTTAGTTAGGACCTTCTGCAATCATGCTGCCTATCTCAGCAGTATGAAGAACACTTGTCAGGTATTTACCTTACACACAGCTTAGCTTTAACCATCAAGTTTTCTGTATACCAGCTTGCTGAAAGAGCACCAAATTTTGAATACAAAATTCTAAATCTGGGCTCCAGTTCTTCAAGGGGGTTCTATTTTTTTTTTGCTCCACCCTTATGACAAGGTAAATTAATTTTACCTCTCTCTCAAACATAAGCTTGCTTGAAATTTTAAAAAATGATAACTAATTAATTTACCATGTTGACCTCCTCATGTATGCTTTCCAAGCATCACTTCCAGATTCACGGCCTCCTCCAGTGTGTTTCTCACCACCTGTCAATCAACATAAATATTTAAATGGTACCCAAAGAATAATAGTGTACCTCCACTCTAAAATATATATTGCTGCACAAAAGGTTTAAAACTCCCATAAAGAAACCCTCCTTAGGTAGACACTTTTTTTTAAGTAAAAAAAATGTCACTCCATGATAACAGAATGACTAACATGGCTGCCAAGGAATGTGGTTTCTGTAGAATGAAGGAAGAAGGACTACTGGATATTAAGTCAAACTCCTCCAAAATGGGAGGCTAGTCCAGTACAAGTTACCCCTCTGCATTTCGTCAAGTTACCTTGACAGTTTCCAGTTAGTACCTATTTAAAGAGAGAAAGGTACTGCCAGATGATAAAGTATCATCCAAAAACACCTCACAGGGACCCTGATCCACACTTCAAACAACACCTAACCACATGTGTATCTGGGCTAACAGATCTCCTGCAGCCACTTGTGAGCTGAATGTTCAACCTCCTCAAATAGGTAATTATCTCTTTTGGGCTGAAACTTGCTACCAGGGTCCATTATTGGACAATTCAGCACATTAGCACATTCTTAATCAGCAACCTTTCAAGCAAAACATGATCTTCTGATGACCACATCCATCATACTTACCAAATGCACCTCCAATCTCTGCTCCACTTGTAGGAATATTAACATTGACGATGCCACAGTCTGAACCTAAGGGCCTGGAGAAATTGGCAGCAAATAAAAGTTTCTTTTTGAGGTTTAATTTGATGTGGGCTAATACAATAATTAGTAAATACACAGGTACACCTAGAATCTCTTTTCAAGTGTTCAAAGTGATATCTCATGAGTCAGCACAAGAAGGGAGTGTGTATTAACCAAAATTAACAGTTAGTACTGGCTAAGGATTCCCCAAGTGGTCACAATAATATCAGAGGTTTCATAATTCTTTGAAGCTAAAATTGGCTTAAGTTGATAAACTATTCAAATTGACCCCCAAGATTTAATTGTTAATTAATTCTCCCCTCAAGTTACTACAAATTATTTCGTTGTAAATTAGTGATGAGCTTTTGGTGTTAGATCAAGATCACAACTTCTACCTGATAAGTTTGAGTATTTCTCAATACCTGTTGCTGGATATTGTATGGATATTATGGGGAGAATTTACAGGTTTATCACTTCTGGGATTTAAATTTATATATAATTAATTATAATATAATTTTTAAATTCTATTAAAAATTTGCTGAGGGGGGAAGGAAGAAAAGAAATGAGTTTTTAAGCCCTATAACAAGTTTATCCTTCAACCTGGAAAAATTTTTCAGTATGATCATACTTGAATACACACAGGTACTTTGAACTTCACTACAGTACTGTAATTACGATAAATTTAATGTAGTTTTAATTAATAGTTACCCCATCCAGTTGAACACCTTTCCAATGTCTTTTGTGAAAATACTACTGGACAGGCCTTGCTTAACTTCATTGTTATACCCAACAGCCTCTTCAAAGCTCTGAAAAATGAAATTAAATGCTTATTACTAACCATTCACGAGATGCTTCTCAGTATTTTGACTGAGAAGAAACTAAAATTACTAAACTGCAAATCAACCGTTGAAGGTGTAATTACAATTTGGTACATGATCCTGTACCTTGCACTTGACAACATACAGAACAGGAACAAAAGATTCCCTTTGTACTATCTCAGCATCATGGGCCAAACCAGTCACAATTGTGGGCTCCACATAAAAACCAGGCTTTTCTAACACCTGAATGAGTAAATAAGCAAATTTAAAATGCATTTAAAATAATGTAGTTTTTAACTGAATGCACCAACACTTTTATAGCAAAAAAAATTACATTTGCCAGTACACAACACAAAATAATCCTTATTGACCAATCTAAATAAATCCTTCAGACCTAAGATTAGATACTGGTATAAATAATAATTATGAAACCAGGATTTTAATGCAACTCAAGCAGCTGTTACTGTGTTGATTAGATGAAAGATATAATTTCAGCTTATATTTGCAATGGTTCCCAAGTCTCTTAGATAACAGATATTGCTCAACATGAATGTTCATTAACAATAAGCCAAAAGTAACCATTCTTACCTTTCCACCATGCACAATCTTTCCTCCCTGCACAAAGATAGAAAATTGTAAAAGAAGTCACCTCTTCTATTTAAAGTGCACCTAAACCCCAAATTTTTTTTTCGCTTAACGAAATAAGCTTATTTTTTGGAGTATTTCTGTGCAAAAATT